GCCCTTGTCCGAGATGGCTAGGTGTAGATCTTCCCTACCTTAAGATCAGTAAAGACAGCAGTAAGAAGGAGTCAAGGAGTAGCAGTACAAAGTCTGCAGAAAAAGACCGGAGCCCAGGGGAGGGGGCAAAGTAGGTGAGGGGGTACGGACAGAAATTGGAAACTAAAGCAGACGGCAGAGCATTGCTAGAGAGCAAGAAAGGAGGTGAAAGGAGACAATTTTAGAGTAGAAAAATTTCTGTCTTTCTCCAAATTCAAATCCAGAACCTATTGAATGAGAGGAGGCAAACACCTTAACATCTAGGCCACGAGAGCGCCCATAGGCTAGGTCAAGGCCTGACCTCAAGAAGCAAAACAACCCGCTCTTGGAACAATGTTGTTGCACGCTACATTATCAGTTTGGCATGTGTGTGTCCCTCCTCTCGGGTTTTAATCCACCTAGGGGCCTTCTTTGACTTTGGTTCTTCTGAGCAGGGTTTCTCGTCCAGACCTGACTTGGTGGTATCAGTGATGGACTTAATTAACTTCTACAAACGGAGGTTGGCCTCTTACATATAAAATGTGAGGCATTGTGATGAAATCAAGCGCTCGTCATTTTTCCGCTCAACACCTTTTACTTCCATTCAAAAATACATTTCTGCTTGAGTTTTTAGTGGAAAAACGTTGAAAAGACACGGAATAGTACATTTTCAGTTTCCAAGGACATTCAAGCAATGGAAGTCACCAAACTTTGATGGCTACTTTCTCGCTTTTTTACCTCTGAAACCAGGCGACCCCCGCCTCCTTCAGTCGCAGATATTTCCGCTTCTAATCAATATAATTGGCTCTATTTTTTTCATCAAAGCGAGACAACTGAACTGGCTGTAAGATGATACCAATAACCCCACAAGCTAGAAATTGACGAGCGGCTGATTCCACTGCGTCGTGACGTATTATAGGCAATAAGGAATGGTTTAAGGATACACATTTCGCTACCTCAGAATTACACATCTCTATCACTACCTAGCTTGGAGAAATTTTACGTCAACGATTTTGAGTGTTTTGAGTGTCACATCATGATATCCTCATGATATCCTTTTTCGAGGGCAATTCTTTAAATAATACCTTGATATCGACCGCGAATAATCTGACGATTTTGGTACAGCAAATAAAACATATATATTGTTTCTGACCTCATGGTCTTAGCAGCTCAAAACAGCCAAAAATGTCAGATATAACTTTGTAATTCTGAGATAGCGATTACAATCAACTAAAGTGCCCCATACATGCTCAAATTTGTTTGTCAAACATTTTTTTTATTTTGTTTTGACAGTTTGACGTTTGCCCCATACATGCTCAAATTTGTTTGTCAAACATTAGTTTGTGCCAAGAGTTTGTAATGGACGGACCAACAGCGTTGGCTCCTGCTTGAGAAGAAAAACAAAAAAGAAAAGAAAGCGTGGGCCAAAAATCATTTTCGCAGCGCCAAAAAATTAGCCATTCTAAATTATTAGATGTGTTACGATGAACTGAGCCAAATGATTTCAGAAACTTTTTTGCGGATGGCCGGGGATTCGTTTGATGAGCTTTTTGAAATTGTGAGACCTTTTATTAGTAGATATCATCTACACCGGCCCCAGACTTTTGAGAATCATCCAATTTCTTCAACTCCCTTCGAAAACTCGTCTGCACTGAGTTAATTTTCTGTTTCTTTTCTTCTTTTGTGGCATCTGCATACCACTCCCTCTATTTCAGCTGCAGATCGTCATAGGCAGCTTCTTTTTTTATCTCGGTCCCTAATTCTTTTCTTATAACTTTCCATAATTCAGGCAAACTCCGGTAAACTTCAATCAGCTCCAGAACATTTTTTTAAATCCTTTGTTGGCGCCATGATGGGGTAAAAAGTACATCTGTTCCATCCTTCACCAACTGAAAAAATAATGTTTGCAAAAATAAATGTATTGATAAAGCCCACACACGATCAAATAGTTCGACGGTTTGACAAAAAAATCAGATCCGTTAATTATTTGACTTCAAATTATTTTAACCATCAAACACGCCCATACACCATCAAAAACGTTTTTAAAAAACGTGTGTCAAACATATTTGATCAAACCGTCAAACAAATTTGAGCGTGTATGCGGCACTTGACAGTGAACAGAGAGTACAGGAAACATTCACCACTTGCTCACACGAGCATGCAGGCACGATCAGTTTTACTCCCAGCTTGAGTGGACGGGAGACTGAGAGAGAGGGGGGATCCTGACTCATACACACACGCACACACACACACACACACACACACACACACACACACACACACACACACACACACACACACACACACACACACACACACA